GGAAATTTAATTTATTTAGTTTCTTTTTTTTTCCTTTCTAAAACTGCTATTAATGGGAAAAAAGCTAAGTGTGTTTGATTTTGGCGAGAGACTCAGATTCTTTTGATCTAGTGAGTGACCTTAGTAAAGAGGACATAGTGAGAGGGGACCATGGGACCAATGCTCCTTTTAAGGAGTCCATAGATTTTTAAAATCCTGCTTTTAAGGCCATAATTGAACATACTAATTCCTAAGAATTTGCAGAATTTATATTTAAAAGACAAACTCTTCATATTCCCACCCACACATGCCAGATAATTCTCTTCTCAAGAATCAGGAGGCTCAGTTTTATTTCTGGCTTTGCTACCCTAAGCTGCGTGCTTTGGGTATTAAAATGAGAAGAAAATCACATAAACAAACATATATAAGAAGGGCAATTCATTAATTTTCTGGAGAAAATTACAAAGCTGACTAGAATACTTACTTAGGTTGCTCAACACATTTTCTTCCTTGTAGGACCATCACTGTGTCCGAGCAGAAAAAAGCTGAAGTTGGGTACTGAAGTCGGCCAGTTAATCCCAGATACTCAGGAATCTTAGCTACTTAGGAGATAAACATTGGGAGAACCAAGGTTCTAGGAAAGCTTCTCTCCTGTTGGAATGCAGTCTCATAGACTTTTCTGCCCAGGGTTGCTCCGAAACCACAATCCTCCAAATCAGTCTCCCAAGTAGCTGGGATAACAGGTATAAGCCACTGGTGCCTGGTTCTGTATGAACCTACTTATGTGAAATGTCTAGGACTGACACATCTAAAGAGATAGAAAGTAGATTAATGGGGCTAGGAATGTGGCTTAGTGGTAGAGTGCTTGCCTAGCATGCATGAAGCCCTGAGTTCGATTCCTCAGTACCACATAAACAGAAAAAACTGGAAGTGGCACTGTGGTTCAAGTGGTATAGTGGAGAGTACTAGCCTTGAGCACAGAGAGACTCAGGGACACAGTCCAGGCCCTGAGTTCAAGACCTAGGACTGGTACAAAAAAAAAAGGAAGTAGATTAATGGCTGTAAGGGGGATGGGGGAGTAATTGCTAATAAATATAGAGCTTCTTTTTTAGGATGATGTAGATGTTCTGGACTTAGATGGTAATGACTGCGTGACCCACTGAACTGTCCACTCTAAAGGGAGTGAATTGTGTTATAAAAACTGAGTTATAACTCCGTTTTTAAAAAGGAATAAATATTTGAACTGAACCTTAAAAGAATGTGCTTGTTGGTAGACAACTGTGGGAAGAGAATTCTAGGCAGAAAGAATAGGATGAGGAAAAACAAGCCAGACATGGCTTACACCTGTAATCTTTGTTACTCAGGAGGCTGAAATCAGAACTGTGGTGCAAGTCCAGGTGGGGCAAAGAGTGAGTGAGATCCCTATCTTAATCAACAAAAAGAAGCTTGATGTGGTGATAAATGCCTGTCATCCTAGCTACATGGAAAGAATAAATAGGTGCACTGAGATCCAAGCTGGTCTTGGCAAAAAGTGAGACCCTATTAAAAAAAAATAATGAGAGCAAGAAATGTAACTGGTAGAGGACCTGCCTACCAAGAGCAAGTCTCTAAGTTCAAATCCAACCCTAGTATTTAAAAAAAAAAGGGGGGGGGAAGGCAAAAAAAGGAAATACATACTCAACAGGCACAACAGTTCAGAGGCTGGACTAGTCTAGGGTATATGCACAGTAGGGGCAAAAACTGACCTAAGAGCCAGATGCTGATTGCTTATGCCTACAATCCTAGGTACTCAGGAGGCTGAGCTATCTGAGGACTCTGATTCCTAACCAGTGTAGTTGAGACTCTTATCTCCAATTAACCACCAACAATCCAGAAGTGGTACAGTGCTAGCCTTGAACTAAAAAGTAAAGGGACAGCTCCTAGGCTCTGAGTTCAAGCCTTCAGTATTACCCCAGCCCCAACCCAACAACAGAACCAAACACTGAGCTAACAAGGTAAGAAAGAACAAATGACGTGACCTCTGTCCATCTTGTGAAGGAACCTTCCTGCATCCAGTTCAGAATCAAAGAACTCTATTACATCTTGGCAAGCCCAACCCACCTTTTTCTCACTAATACAAAACATATTCATTAATATTATTGGTTATTTTGATTCTTCTTCCCCAAAGAGTACACACTCCTTGAGGGTAGCTTTATCTAAATACAAAGCATTCTGTTGGAATTCCTACCATCATAACCCTTTGCACACACTGTCACCCTGTTTGGAATGGTCTATTAATCACATATTCAATAATTATAAATTCCTTAAGCTCCTGGACCATACCTTATATCACCTTCTGTCTCTCATGTCTCGAATATAGAGCTTGGTACTTTTAAAACAGTACTGATCTCTTTGTACCGTGTATTACAGTGATCTGGGCATCCCTCTCACCTCTACATATCTTGCCCCTCAACCATTAGGATCCAAGCACCTGAGAATAATGTCTATGCCTTTCCCAGCCTTGCAACTCCAAGCACTATGCTAGCTGAACTGTTCAGCAAATAATAAAAGTGATAGGATCAAGCCAGGCAAGGTGGCTCAAGTGGTAGAGCTCCTGCCTGGCAAAGTCAAACCCAGTGACACAGAAAATAAAAAAGAGGGAGAAAGAGGGGAGGGAGGGAGAGAGAGTAGGAGGAGGAAGAAGAAGAGGAGGAAAATGAGGAGAAGGAGACACAGAAATAGTCATTTTAAAAATCCTAGAAGAAACTACATGAAACAGGATGCAGGCACAAATAACAGAGGGTGTATGTTGAATCAATTTGTGACTACTTGGCATGTTTATTTTCATCACATGGATTTCATTTTGCTAGAACTCCAGAAGACTCAGACAAAAAGTAATGATCTCCCAGCTGCTGTGTTCCCAAGTCTGTGGTTTTTCCTAGGATATAAACAAAAGATTCTGGAGGTATGGTTAATGTTTGCTGGTGTGGGTCTGGGGGAGAAATAGACAATGGGGTAGTGAATGCTTGAGGGAAATCTACCTAATGAACTGACAGTTCGTATAAGCAACACCTGGAGTGTTAAACCCACTCCAACTGTTATTTTACTGGGGAAAAAAATGCACTCTTCCTTTGGTCAATGAAAATTCTTTCAGCAGCTGCATTCCAGGCTGAAGTGTGGCAGTTCAGGAGAGATGGCAGCTGGAACAGATCACATTCAGTGTGCAGAGAATGCTCACCAGCAGCCAGGGACAATCAGAGCCTACAGCGCAAAATCTCACAGCCATGTTCTTTGCAGAAACTGCATCAGCCTCTGCCTCATTGCTGAGTGTGCTGAGCAAGAATCTGCAACACTGAGAATACTTATCTGTTTCTGATCATGGAAAGGGCCAATTCTGTGTGCCTACTCCTTAAAACTCCAAAGCCTAAATTCTTTGGTTTTAATACCACTTCTGTTATAGTCTACTCCAAAACCAAATTCAGAATCCTTAAACTTGGCTATTCCTCTTGAGAAGAGGGAAAGTGTTAACACTCCTGAGCACTTATTACGTGACTGGTACCAGCCAGGCCCTGTCATGTTACATCCTTACATCAAGTCTGGGAGTTGGCAGCCATATTTCACATACAAAGAAGGCAATGGGCTTGGACAGGTTAAGTCAGTTGCTCACGACCTCAAAAAAAAAAAAAAACCTGGAAGAGTTAGGTCTATCTGAGTCAGGTCCTTTCCACTGCCCTATACTACTAGCTAGTATGCCCTAGAAAAATTCTTTCTCCAAAATTTATAAGAATGCTGTAATAGTCCATGATTCTTGGTACCAGCAACTGTTTCTATAAGGAAACAGGTAATAAATGTTTTTGCTTTGCCCATTGGAATTAACCCAGTTCTATAGTTATAACACAAAAACAACCATAGAAAGCAGGCAAATGAATGAATGTGGCTGTGTTTCAATAAAACTTTATTCACAAATTCAGGTAGTGGGCCACACTTAGCCTGCCTGCTCTAAGGTTCTAGAGTGGGTGGCTTCATGTTAATTAGGCTTAGAAATAAAAAAAAAAATTAAAAAGATCATTTTCAACTTAAGCAACATGGGTGTCTTCAATATTCAAGACAATAAAAGATACAGAGCATAGTACAAGACATGGTCTATCCACTTAAGAAATTCACATTCTTTTTCTTATTTTTGAGACAGGACTCAGGCTGGCCTTGAACTCATGATCTTCCTGCCTCCGCCAACAAGAATTGGGATTACAGACATGTACCAGCATGCCCATCAGGAATGTACATTCTTCTGGAGAAAGAAAAGGCACAGACACATAGATTCCAAAAACAGCAAGGGGAGATAGCATGTGGTAGATGCCAAAGGAGGAGTGGGCTGACTGATAGGCCAACAGGGTATTAGAAAACCAGAGTCCAAAAGCTGATCAAATAGTCTTATATTGGCACCAGAACTCAGAAAGAGTCAGAAAAAAATCTCTCAGTGAGCAAGAATGAAGCATGAGTCAGAGATTACTGCTTTAGCACTAACAGAAATACCCCTTCTGGTGAGACCACATGAAGATTTTTAGCATGTGTCAGACCCTAATCAAAGACCACATCTCCTTTAGACTCACCAAACACATGTGCTCGCTGTCTCATTCTTTTTATTTTTTTTGCCAGTCCGGGGCTTGAACTCAGGACCTGGGTACTGTTCCTGAGCCTCTCTGTGTTCAAGGCTAGAGCGCTACCATTTGAGCCACTGAGCTACTTCTGGCTTTTTCTGTTTATGTGGTACTGAGGAATTGAACCCAGGGCTTCATGCATGCTAGGCAAGCACTCTACCACTAAGCCACATTCCCAGTCCCTCCTGTCTCATTCTTAAAGGACAAGCAATGATCTAAGGAGCAAGATGAAGTAAGTGCTTTGAGGGAAATCAGAGGAGGTCTTGCCATTGTCCGCTCAGCTGTCCGTGTCCATGACACTGAGCCACAGGCCAGACCAGGGCTAAGGAAAACTATCTTTGTCAATTGTCAGAAATCTAGTATAGAGTCAGACCTAAACCATACCTTGCTCATAGCTGTTAGGGCAGGGTCGCAAGCCGCATCTAGGTCCTGTACCAACAATTGGATACTGCTGGAGATGACACTGCAAATCAAAAAATAGTTGGAAAAAAATTGTTGGAGTGACTAACACAACCCTTCTGATGTTTTAGGTCTCTGTGTAAATTTACATTCATTTCATCCAAAAGCTCAAGTTTTTTCTTTTTCTTTTTTTCATCTGTCACAGGGCTTGAACTCTGGGCCTGGGCACTGTCCCTGAACTCTTCAGTCAAGGCTAGTGCTCTATCACTTCAGCCACACTGACACTTCTGGTTTTATGGTGGTTTATTGGAGATAAGAGTTTCACAGTCTTTCCTGCCCAGGTTGGCTTTGAACTGCGATCCTCAGCTCTCAGCTTCCTGAGTAGCTAGGAAGTAGAGATTACAGGCGTGAGCCACTGGCGCCCGGCTCAAGTTTTTCTTTTTTTTCTTTTGCAGTACTGGGGCTTGAGCTCAGGGCCTTGTACCTGTTAGGCAGAAGCTCTACACTTGAGCCATCCCTTCAGCAAAACCTGGAATTTCAGTTAAAGCACACATGCAATGGTACATGCTAAACTCCAACCATTTATGCTTTTTATTCTAAAACACAGCAGGTAGAAGGCCTGGAACTTGATCTTCCTGTAGGGATGGTCAGGGCATGATGGGGTAATGATAAAGACCCACCCCACAATCTGTAAGCTAAAAGAAATGCACTGAGGGAGAGGCAGGGGAGGCAGCTGCTTCTAGTGCCAGTCGAGAACAATCCCAATCCAATAAGAAGATCCTAGAATCCTGTTAGGTTCTGTGGTACTAAAGCCAACAGCCTGACACTTGCTGCTCTATGAAAGAGAAAGAACAGGCCTGGGGCAAACACCAGCTAGGTACATACGTGCTGAATGTGTCCATTTCTCCTGTCAGATTGATTCGTTCAATCAGACTTACGTCAACCTTTTCTTTGAGTTTTTCTTCTAGCTGTTAGAAAAAAGAGAAACAGAAAAATGTTTAATAATTAGCAAAAGGAGTTTCAGAATAATAGTTAACATTTACTAAGTTTGATGAATCAGATACAACTCTAGACATTTTGTGTGGCTCAGTTAATTCTCACAATTCTAGACAGCCCACGATAACCCTCTTTACAGATGAGAAACTAGGAGAGGCCTACCAGAGATAGTAAGCAGTGGGCCTGAAATAAACTTCCTCAGAAGCACATGTAATCTTTAGCCCTGTACTACACCTCTCTTGATACACTGGTAATTCATAGGATTAATTTTGAAAATGTCCCAATTTGAAGATACTCCCTGGCTCATGAACTACTTGCCAAGCTGAATCAGAAGCTTTCATAGAAGATTTACTGAAGCCAGGTACTGGTGGTTCATGCCTGTTATCCTAGTTACTCAAGAGGCTGGTATCTGATGATCACCATTTGAAGCCAGCCTGTGTAGGATACTCCGTGAGACTCATATCTCTAATAAACTACTCAAAAAAGCTGGAAGTGGTGTTGTGGCTCAAGTGGTGGCACTCATCTTAAGCAAAAGAAGCTCAGGGACAGCAGCCAAAAAAAAAAAAAAAAAAAGGATTCACTGAACATTATGATAAGCTATATGCCTTATCAACATGTTGGAGACCAAGTGACTAAACCCACAGAACACTCTTCACTTTTATTAGCCTGCAGTAGCCTGGGATACAAATATATGAGGCTGGAATCTGAGGTTCTCAGTTTGAAGCCAGCTTGAGCAGAAAAGTCAGTAAGACTCTTGCCTGCAAGACTGGTTAGCAAGAGGCTGAAAATAGAGCTGTGGCACAAGTGATAGAGCACCAGCCTTGAAAAGAAAACATCAAGTGAAAGCTTGAGGTCTAGTATTGGAAAGAATCAAACCAAACCACACAACTATCCCAACAAAACCCTCACATGCTCCTAGAGCCTTGGAGAAAATACAGTTGCCCAGGACAGGGACTATCTGAAGACATCCCTGAGTTTTGGTTAATCTAGTGCTCCTAACCCGCCATACTTATACTCCAATGATAATGTATGCTTTGTGTTCAACTTAAAAGTGCTTTAGAGATGGGTGTTACCTTTGTGGGAGGCAATGTATTTAAGTAAAAATTTAAATATACAAATTTTTAATCTAGAAGTTCACATCTAGAAATAATGTTCAATGATATAAAGAGAATGTACAGAGGCATGCACACATTCTTGACAGCATTCATCATTTTAGTCAATATTTCCTGGAAGATTACCTTGTGCCAGCCTATTTAACCAAGAGATGGAATTACTCAGTGAATGCTGTTCTCAAAAAGCTCACAGTCTAGTGTTGGTTAAGATTATGGAAAACCTGGATGCATTCTGCATAGGTTTCAGTGAGGGGAGAATGAAACAGATTGTGGCAGAGGCTTGTGCTTACAAGGCTTGTTTTGCTATTATACTGAAAATAAACCCCAAACTTCTAATGACTTGGGTTCTGTCCAGCTCTCTGGCCCCATCTTACTACTTTCTGTCCTGCCTGCTAGGGTTTGGTTACACTGGCCTCTGAAGTTTTGAGGACACTTGCATACTAGGGTCTCTCTTCCTCAGGGCCTTTATCCCAACATTCATACTTCCTCCCCCTGAAATATCTGAGCCGCCCCTCCCAACCAGCTGGTTGCCTTGGAGTATTCCCACTCCCACTCTCTCCAAGCTTCTCACTTGGCATCTGTTTCCTCTCTAACACATATCATGAAATAGAAGCTAAATCTGTGATGACCTACTTATTATCTGTCTTCCCATCATTTCTAAAGATTCCTGATGGAAAGACACTTGTCCAGTCTATTCACTGCTGTTTATTAACACCTGTCATAGTATCTGAGAAATAATAAGTGCTAAAGAAAGATTTTTTTTCTCACTAGTCCAGGGCCCCTCACTGAACTTATTTTGCTCAAGGCTAGCACTCTACCACTTAGGCCAGAGTGCCACTTCTGGCTTTTTCTGTTTATGTGGTATTGGGGGAATCAAGCACTCTACCACTAAGCCACATCCCCAGACCCAAGAAAGACTTTTTTTTTCTTTTGAGGAATGGGAGAATAAATGGAATACTCAGTACAAGTGATAAAAAAACAAACAAACAACACTGACATGGAAAGATGTCCATGACTCAGTTACAGACAAAACAATGCTGCTTCATTGTACAGTAATAATGTAGGGTATGGGCCTATTCTTATGCATAAAATTTGGGTGCTGGTGGCTCACACCTGTAATCCTAGCTACTCAGGATGTTGTGTTCTAAAGGCTGCAGTTCAAAGCGAGCCCAGGCAGGAAAGTCCATGAGACTCTTATCTCCAATTAACCAGAAAACTGGAAGTGGCCCTGTGGCTCAAAGTGGTAGAGTGCTTGCCTTGAGCTGAAGAACTCAGGGGCAGTGCCTGGCCCAGAGTTCAAGACTTGCAACCAACAGCAACAACAAAAAAAAGATACATAAAAATTGTTTGGGAGGATATACTACTATCCAGTATACATCAGAGTAGCTGCCCCAAGAGTGAGATTATGGGGATGTTTCATCTATTATTTATATCTCTATAATATCTGAAACTTTACATAGCCAGTCTTGCTTACTGTACTCTCACTGGTCTCTCCATCCTTTGACTTGTTCTCAAGCAAATCCTAGACAGTCTATCATTTCCTCTTTAGATATTTCAAAAACAAAAGTCTCATTCCTAAAAAGTTACCAACTCTTTTAACATCAAATACTTCTTATCTTGTTTAAAGTTGACATTTTCCTCACTGCTTACAATTTTAAAATACTATGAAACACCAGGCATTGGTAACTCATACCTGTAATTCTAGCTACTCAGAAGGTTGAGATCTGAGGATTGTGGTTTGAAGCCAGCCCAGGCAGAAAAGTCCCTGGGCAAGACTCTTATCTCCAATTAACCACTCAAAAACAGGAAGTGGTGCGGTGGCTCCAGTAATAAAGAGATTGCCTTGTGCACAAAGAGGCTCAGGGATAGTGCCTAGGCCCTGAGTTCAAGCCCCACAACCGACAAAAAGAGAAACCAAAAATACTATGAATCAAGATCCAAATACAGTTGGGATTGGTAATTCATGCCTGTAATCCGAGCACTTGTGAGGCAGAGATGTGAGCTACATATAGTGAGAAAAAAAGTTTTAAGACAAAAGTCAAACTGAATGCCAGTGGCATTCTAGCCTGGGCAGGGAAGTTTGTGAAACTCATATCTCCAACTAATCAGCAAAAATTACAAAGTGGAGTTGTGGCTCACCTGGTAGAGTGGTAACTTTGAGTGAAAAACCTAAGGGAGATCACCTAGGCCCTGAGTTAACCCCCAGTTCTGGTATTCAAACACACTCTTGAGCACACACATACACACACCCAGAAAACTGTTTCATGGTGGTACGGTGTACTTACAGTTTTATTCCCTCACTCTTTTTTGAGGTGGTGATGGGGTTTGAACTTAGGTCCTTATACATGCTAAGCAAGTACTGTGTTAAAACCTTCAGCCTTTTTCTCATATCAGCAGCCAGTGATGCTCAATGACCAGATCCATTATCCATTAGACTGATCTCCCTTTTCTTCTTCATTATTACCTAAACTTCTGCTGTACAGGTATGACTATCAATGATTTGGTGGATCAGATAGGAAAGGCAGGTAAAAGCTTTCTCTTAATTACTTGTTTTGATTCATACCTATGGTGCTTAACCTCTTTAAATGCAAGAAATGAATTTTAATACAATCATTATAACCAAATTGAGTTAAACACATTTGTTGTTTTCAATTCCTTGCTATTAAAATTCTAACTGATGTAAACTGGTGTTGGTTTGTTCTATCTCTTGGCAGTAGAGCTCTTGAAGGCTGGCTCCCACATTAGTTTCCTATGGCTGTTATGACAAATTATCATTAACTTAGTAGCTTAAAGACAACAGGCATTTATTGTGGAAACCAGAAGCTTAAAATCAGCTGAGAGCAGGGCTGATTTCTTCTAGACATTCTCAAGGAGGCCTCTCTTCTAGATTTTGGTGTTTGCTGGCAAACTGTGGTGCTCATGGCTAGTTAGATGTAACCTTCCAGTCATGCCTCTATCTTCTCATGGCCCTCACTGCATCTTTAGATCTATGGCCTTAAATATCTCTCATTGTCATTGTATCAGTGCCTACCTTATGTCCAGGATGAGCTTGTCTTTAGGTATTTGTATTGCAAACCCAGGATTTTCCAAATAGGCCATATTTGAATGTACTATGAGTTAAGACTTATTTTTGATGGCATATTCAGTCCCCTCTGAGTCCTTTGGAGATGACACTAATGGTCTTTTGTTATTTTTCTTGCTCTTTATATTACTTGTCCTAATTTCATCTCTATACTTTCTCCTGCACATCTGGAATTAGTTCTTTCTCCAGGAATTTCTATTTTGTTTTAATGAAAAATGGTGTGTACAAATTTCAGTAGAGGTGGCCAAGAAGGAGTTTACTTTTATAATGAGTAAAAAAAAATGTTCACTACATTAAAAAGAAATTTGCCACATGTATCAAGAATTATCAAAATGGTTTCTGATCTAATACTTTTAAAATGCCAAAGAATTTGTTCAAGAGAATAACATAGCCAGGAGCTGGTGGCTCCGAGTTGTAACTCTAGCTACTCAGGAGACTGAGATCTAAGGATTATGGTTCGAAGCCAGTCTGGGCAAGAAAAGTCTGTGAGATCTCCAATTAACCTCCAGAAAATCGGAAGTGATACTGTGGCTCAAAGTGGTAGAGCACTGGCCTCAAGTGAAAAAGCTCAGGGACAGCATCCAGGCGTAGAGTTCAAGCACAGTTCAGGTGGAGTTCAAAACTGACAGACACAGACCCAGACAGACAGACAGACAGACAGACACAGACACAGACACACAAACGTATGTGTGCACATAAAAGAATGTAAAACATTTAAGACACTATGTTCAGAAAGATGCTCTTTGTAGAATTGTTTATAGCAAATATTTGAAGCAGCATAAATAATTATCAGGAATACTATCAAATAATAGTATTTCTTAATGGAAGATTATATAGCCATAAACGATGATAGTAAAAAAGACATTTTAGTAACAGGAGAAATGTTACTATTAAGACACAAATGATAATAAAAGGATATAAAATGAATTAAGACAAGCATAAAAAACTATGTTCATAAAAAACAATTGGAAAAAAATAACCTAAATTGCTTAGATGACTATTTGAATGTGATACGATTAAGAGTAATTTTTTAATTATTCCTTTTTGTGGACTATGGCTATTTATCTAAAAATACTATATGTGTTGTGTATATTTTTCTTTCTGCACACACACTAAATACTTAAAAGTGTTTACCAAAGGACTTGGGGACCTCTGTTTTGAAGATTCTCTCAGATACTGATGTCCTGCCCTGGGCTTATCTGGCACTAAATGGGTTGCTCTCTCAAGTTCCAAGACCAAACTTTTACAGATCATTCCCTGTGTAACCCAAAGTGCCCCAAGCAGTGATGCTGCTTCCTCTGTCTGCCTGGCTGGCCCTAAATGGTTGGAGTCTTTGTGGGAATACTTCTGAATTCATGCCCTGGCCCACAGGAGCTTGAAACTGGAATGTCTGAAATATCATTTACGACTGTCTTTCTATGATCTAGACATGTGTAAATAATAAATACAAGGAGGTGGGACAGCAGAACCCTCCCAAATCACTCTCTTTCTTTTAGCCTGAGGTGGATCCCAGAGCAAATGAGAAAAAGAACTCCTAATCCCATGCCTTAAGGCTGCATGGAAAGTTACTCTGGCTCTTCCTTTTGCTAAATCAGTTTGCTGAACTTCTGCCACTTAGGGGCTCCTATTGAGGGAGGCATCACCCACCCCTTCCTGCTTCACAGTTCCTGAACGTCAACACCTCAAACAATAGTTATTTGTTTCAACATACTGAAAATACTATAAAATTTCAGGAGACATATAAAAGCCCAAAGGACTGTGCTTTGCTGAGAATGGATTAAATGAGTGACTCATCACCACCAAAGGCTGGGTCCTGGTACCACTAAGTTTATTACTGCTTTTCTCACAAGAGAAACAGTGCTACTGACCTACTTTTAAGAGGTCATGCCCGTTAGGTGGCTTATACAACTATAGGGAGGAGACTGGTCATACTTTCTTGTCTAGTTTCCTTTTAATAGCCCTCTGTAAAATGGCTGCCTGGGCAGTCTTCTGGCTGAACAGTGAGTTTTCCTCTCTGGGAGGCCAACTGGTTTGCCCACATAGTAGTGTGCAGCCTTGTTGGGATCATCCTCCTCCAGCTCTGCAGCCTGGATGGTTCAGGAGAGGAGGTGGTGTGTGGCACCTGGCTCACCTGCTGGGTGGTGGCTAGACAGTATTCAGCTGTGCTCAAGATGCTGCAGATGAGGCAGAGCTCCTCGAGTGTGAACTTGGCTGCTTCGGAGCCCTCCTTTTCCTTGAGGAGGCTGCTGATGGTTAGCCCTCCACTGCTGCTGGTGGTTCTGAAGAAAAGGAACAGGAACTGGTCAGGTTAGAACTTCTAATTTGCTTCCTGAACTGGATACTGCCTATTTTAAGACAAAGAAAAAAGGGAAGGAAAGGCTGGCTGTGGTTCAAATAAATTCACGTACAATGAGTCCTTTTCCTCCTGACCTTACCTTGACTGTCATCTGTTAGATTCTCTTACCATCAGGAATAGGAAAAGACAATTCCAAAAATGAGCCAGGACTGATTAGTCCTGCTAGCTACAATCATCCGATACTTGCAGAGGAGGCTGCTCGGCTGCCTTGCACTTGAGCTTGGCATTTCCTGATATGTAGAACTCATTTAGCTTCCCCAACTGTTTGTCTCAGTTATAAGAAAATTCTGCAATGGAATGTACATGTTGTACTTGTGGAGGAGTACAGAAAGGAATGTTAAGACACAGTTCCTGCCACAGTTCTGAATGCTTCAAGAGACAGAAAAGGAGTTCACGAAACCCCTTGTGCAGCCTCCATTCCTGGGTGGCTTCTAAAGTACCAACCACTACTCACTGGTATATAGATGCTTCAAATTCTTCCACTTCCTTTTACCTTGCCCAGTCCCTGGAAGCAGAGTTAGTATTAACAAAACCCCAGCTGAGTGTCACTTGTTCCAGCTGTGATACTAACACTCATGAGAAAACACTTCCAGTAGGCCATTAAGACTAGCTGCCGTACAGTCTCAACTCTGTCAGACATACAAACACATGCACATCCCACGGCATATACACATGGATGAAACATGGAAAAAAATGTCTGACAAAGAGTGAAATGGGTTCTCTTTAGATGGTGAGACCATAGGTCTTTATTTTCTTATGCTTCTCTGTGTTTTCTAAGCTATAATGAGTTAATAGTATCTTGATCAACAGAGAAGAAATTATTTTAAAAATCTCAAAATAACTCTTATTTCAAAGAAGTCTCATTAGTAACTATACCTGACTCCTCAAATCTGTAGAGCCCACGAGTCTATTCTTTTTCATCCAAGTAATAAAATTCTCATACTCAAAAATATGTTAGTGACAATGACAGAAACTGGCTCAACAAATGTTAATTAATCATGGGGATGATTTGTAAATATTAAATTCTGAAGTATTATGTTAGGTTACATTCTATTACAGTAGAAATTTCTATGTAACTAAAAGATCTCTAAAACCCTTGCTGAATGATTCACTTATTTGAAGTGATTCACAATATAACAATTCTTAAATGTTTCAGAATACAGGGGAGTGAATGGAATTAGGAGCTATGCTGTGTAATCCCCTCACCACCATATCCTACTATATCTTTCCACATCAGACTCTTGAGCATCACAAGAGGAATATACCACTATAGAGACTTTGGAACCCATCAGACAGAGGGAAAGTTGGATGCATATCTCCTACCTATCACTCCAGGGCATAATCATGTTGAATGTGACTATTTAATAGCTATTTCCATCATTTCACTTTTCCTGCCAAATAATTATTGTTGAATCCACACTCATGAAATACATACGTATCTACATTAGGACTGACTCACCAGTGTCCACCACTGTGGTGTGACCAACACTGGCAGCATCTCTGCTAAAGGTCTCAATCAACTATGGAATGTTGTTAGGGTAAAAATAGTGTCGGCCCCTAGGGAACTCAAGCAAGACTGTTTTTCCCTTTGACACATAGAAATTCGGTAAACAACTTCAGAGTGGGTTCCCTTGCAGATTCCCATATTTAGGAATACTTAGAATCCTGCTTCATCACTCAGAATGTGAAGAATGGGACTCACTTGGGCAGGTTGCCAGAGAGGATTTTCCAGGCATACTCTCGAAGGTACTTCTGGAAGATGGTGGTCAGGGCTATCATCGGTTCCCCTGTACTGAGCTGTGAGCACTGCACCATGCACTTCTTGTAGTAGACAAAGAGGTCAGCACAGCTGGGGAGTACAGCACCCCCTTCATCTGTATTGGGCTTGGGGGGTCCTTGGGCTTTGAAATCAGCCACAAACCTATCTATCAGCTCTCCAAGGTTCCTAGGAGGAAGAAAAACCTAAGATGTTATTTTGCTTTGAGAAAGATATAACAAATGGGGCTGGGAAGGTGGCTCAGTGGTAGAGCCTTGCATGCATGAGGCCCTGGGTTCGATTCCTCAGCACCACATAAGCAAAAAGAAAAAAGCCGGAAGTGGCGCTGTGGCTCAAGTGGTAGAGCGCTAGCCTTGAGCTGAATTGCTGAGGGACAGCACCCAGGCCCAGAGTTCAGGCCCCACGACTGGACCAAAAAAAAAAGATATAGCAAATGTGTTTTGTTTGCAATGTATATAAGCTGTTCCCACAAATAATTATTCCTGATGGTGCTTCTTGTGATTACTGAGGACTGAACTAAAGGCTTTGTGTTTGATAGGCAGGCACACTACTGCATTGAGCCATACCTCCAGCTCTGAAGCTTTTTAAAATTGGGTCCTTTTTTTGGTGCTGGTCATGGGGCTTGAACTTAGGATCTGAGTGCTGTCCTTCAGCCTCCTGAGTAGCTAGGATTATAGATGTGAGCCACCAGTACCTGGTTTGGGTCCATTTTTATCAACAACATGAATAACCACCACCACCACCACCATCCCTACCCCTATAATAATGGTAGCTTCATAGCTTCATACTTTTCAGGGTACCTCATGATCACATTTGACCTGATGATAGGATATTGTTGGCCCCTCTAGAAGATGAGAAATTAAGACTTAGGAAGTCTGTCACAAAACTTAGTGGCAGAGCTGTGTCTAAAATCCACCATTTAAGTAAGTACACTGGTGTTACTATATTAGTACCATTTCCCCTTTCTACAAATGAAATCCTTAAATAATAATGATAGCGATTAATTTCCAAAGACTTGTAATATACTTGTACATATCAGGGTGGTACTTTATAACCATTATTTCATTGAGTTTTATTTGTTCTTTGCAATAACTTATGAATTAGGCACTACTGCTGCATTCCTTTTCAAGTTCAGTCCACAAGAGTTAAGTACCTTGTCCAAGGTTATATGGCAAGAAGCAGAGGAACCAGGATTCAAAACCAAGCAGCCTGGCTCCAAGCCATATGCTTTTAACTATTCTGCTTTATAAATAAGGTTAGAGTGTCAGCCAAGATTTGGACACATGGACCTAAATGAATCCCAAGGGTGAATGCTGAAATAGAGAAGTTGTTAAGAAAGAAAGAAAGAAAGAAAGAAAGAAAGAAAGAAAGAAAGAAAGAAAGAAAGAAAGAAAGAAAGAAAGAAAGAAAGAAAGAAAGAAAAGAGAGAAAGGAAAGAAAGAGAAAGAGAGAAAGAGAAAGAAAAGAGAGAAAGAGAGAAAGGCAAAGAAAAGAGAGAAAGAGAGAAAGAGAGAGAAAAGAAAACCTAATGCTTTCTTCCTTAATGCACTTCTCAGTTTTTCTTAGATCTTCCAGAATCAGGGATGTAATGAAATATTGGGAGAAGAGAGTAGCTAGGAGCAGCTCTAAGATGCCCTGTTATGGTAATGAAGGTTGTGATCTATCTCTCATTTCCCAGTCAAACATCCTTGAGTTTGCCTGGGTTACCCTGAGTTGCTGTAAGCACAAATCCAGCAAGGCCATAACCATTTCCTCTGCACAGTTGTGTTGTGTGGACAATAGGAGGCTTCACTCTTGACATGTGGTATCTTTTTAGGCTGCTGGCTAATGCTACAGGGATCCAGCTGTGTTTTTAAAATATATTTATATAATCGGGAGAAAAAGACAAGAACCACACACAGCACCAATTAGCAGGAATAGGAAAAAACTGACATTTTACTCAAGTGCTTTTGTTATTCAGAGTTTACTATATCCAGATGTGGCCACTCTGCCCTCAAAGAGCTTAGGGCTGAGAGGGTAGGTCTTTGTCTGTGGGAGAGTCAGCAAGCTGAGAAGGACCTCATTAGTTGACCTTGGAAAGATCCATAGTCAGCACCCTGATTCCTCACAACCTACTTTTCCATCTACCCTTCCACCTCTCTTCCAATAGATCTTTCTGCCAGTCACCATTCTGTGGCCTTCACTCTGCTTCTTCCCACCTGTTTCTTTTTTTTTTTTGTCGGTCGTGGGGCTTGAACTCTGGGCCTGGGTGCTGTCCTTCAGCTCTTCAGCTCAAGGTGAGCGCTCTACCACTTGAGCTACAGCGCCACTTCCGGTTTTCTGGTGGTTTATTGGAGATAGGAGTCTCACGGTCTCTCCTGCCCGGGCTGGCTTTGAACCGTGATCCTCAGATCTCAGCCTCCTGAGTAGCTAAGATTACAGGCGTGCGCCACCAGCACCCGGCACTTCACCTAACTGTTTCTTAGCCAAAGTGTTCTCCCTCTTCCTCAACTCCACTCAGACCTCATCTGAACAACTCCAACTCAATCCTATCCTCTCTAAATTGGAACTTCTATATGCTACTTTATTTTTTAAATAATTTATTATGTAGTATAAGGATGCCAAAAATTCAAGAACTGTGACAAGCTTCTCCTACTCTGGGCCCAGGGGGGGTTGATGCTAATCAACACCAGCTCTTTTTCACTAATCCTCAATAAAATGGAGTTGGAATTTGAACTTGGGTTTGCCTGACTCCAATTGTGTCTATTATACCATAAGTACCGATACATGATACTACTGTTGTTACTTTCTCCCTAGCTTAGCAAAACATAGCATTGGTATGTTGTTTCTTCTATCCTCACCCTTGAAGCTTGGGCTTTGTGCCCAAGAACTATGCAAGTCTTTGAGGGTATCATATGACACTCTTTTCTGGGAGTTCCACTGATATGTTAAATGCCCTCAGAATAAAGACCATTGCAGAGCAACATCCATACAGGGACAGATTAAAACAGGAGGAGAGGGCTGGGAATGTGGCTTAGTGTTAAGAGTGCTTGCCTAGCATGCATGAAACCCTGGGTCCAATTCCTCAGTACCGCATAAACAGAAGAGGCTGGAAGTGATGCTCTGGCTGAAGTGGTAGAGTATTAGCCTTGAGCAAAAGAAGCTCATGGCAGTCCCTGAGTTCAAGCTCCAAAACAGGCAAACAACAACAACAACAACACAGACACAGACACAGACACACAGACACACACACACACACACACACACACACCATAAAACCAGAGGAGAAATAAAGTCATCTGACTTCAGACTGAGACAAGCTAAAAGAAAAAAAAAACTTTTCTGATAGATCTGTCTATAGACAGTATTCAGAGAAATGATATTCAAATTGAAATGTCACATAGCAGTGACACTGGGAAAAGATGGTTGTTAAAGAGATGGCCAGGGAAGCAGGCAAGCAGCTTGAGATCCCATACTTGCTCACTAAAACCTCCTCCAACATATGCACCCCTTATGCATCCTTTGTGTTGGAACTGAGGAGGTAGTTCTAGGATGGGCAGTGAGGTTGGAGCACCAAGATTTGGTTTGAGCGTGTCTGGAGATTGGTTACATAAAGGCAAACAGAGCCAGTAAGCATACTGAGGATGTTGGGAGCCAAGGTCCTTGCTGTCATGGATGGCTTTACCAACTGCATGGGATGGGTCTTGGATCTGCATTTAAAAACATGGTTGGGACAATGGTAAGGTAGAATGCGGTATATGGATTAAATTATTCATATCAATATAAATTCCTGATCTTGATGATTGTACTATAGTTACATACATTATATCCTTGTGGGAAGAGAGAGGCTGAAATAACCCCTGTGGCATTAGAAGTCTCAGAATAAGCTCATGGGCTTTAACACATACATATGCACATTATGTAATTACACATATATTATTTCAAGCACAAAGCCCTGAATTTAAATAACAGTACTGACTCCCCAAATTTCAAGGTCATGAAAGATTAAAATACTGTTAGTTCATTGGAGTGAAGGATATCAAAGAGACAAATCTGTGGTCCTACGATAGATCTTGAATAACTTACAAAACATGATTGGGACAACTGTTGAGATGAAATGGGATCTATGGATTAAATGGTGACTGACATATATACATATATATATATATATATTTCATATATATATGTGTGTGTGTGTATATATATATATATGATACACACACATGTTAGTGTGAGTTTCCTGATTACTGTACTGTAGTTATATAGATTGTGTCCTTGCCTATAGAAATGCATACTAATATGTTACAGAGTAATGGGTCATCTTATCTGCAACATGATATATGATAATTGAATAGTTCAGAAAAAATTTCCATGTACATATGAGTGTGTGAAAGAGAGAAAAGAGAAAGAGAAAAAGATGAGTGTTAACTGAAAAGTCTGGGTGAAAGACAGAAGCTCTATGAACAATTCTTGTCACTCCATAAACAATTCTTGTCACTCCTTTGTAAACTGAGATCAATTCAAAATAAAACATAAGTGTACTAGTTATAGAAAGACTCTAGGCTTCCGGGCTGGGAAGGTGGCTCAGTGGTAGAGCGCTTGCCTTGCATGCATGAAGCCCTGAGTTCGATTCCTCAGCACCATATAAGCAAAAAGAAAAAAGCTGGAAGTGGCACTGTGGCTCAACTGTTAGAGCGCTAGCCTTGAGCTGAATTGCTGAGGGACAGCGCCCAGGCCAGAGTTCAGGCCCCACGACCGGACCCAAAACAAACAAACAAACAAAAAGAAAGACTCTAGGCTTCCTAATAGCAGGAATGGGGTGAGATGGGGCTGTGTTTTTCTTGTTGCTGTTGTTTTGTTTTTTGTTGGATGTGGGGCTTGAATTCTGGTCTAAGGCATTGTCCCTGAGCTCTTCAGCTCAAGGTGAGCGTTCTACTACTTGAGCCACAGCACCACTTCTGGTTTTCTGGTGGTTAGTTGGAGAGAAGAGTCTCATAGACTTTCCTGCCTGAGCTGGTTTTGAACAGTGATCCTTAGATCTCAGCCTCCTGAGTAGCTAGGATTACAAGCATGAGCTACTGGTGCCCAGCAGGACTTTGTTTTAACAGAATAGTTATGATAGAGAAATTAGGAGAATAGGAAGGAATGGAGTCAGCATTAACTTCTCTGACTAAGAGTATCACAGGATGAAGTAAAGACAGGGCTAATGTAGAAAATCTCCTCTGCAAGAGATCACTACATATTCCTGCGTAGGAGATAAACTCATATCTTCCTTGAAAAACAAACATGGAGAAATCCACTGAAAGCATGTAAGGACAGTTTAACCCAACTTGCACTAGAGGTGGCTACAGGGACCCCATTTCTTGCTTTCTTCCTAAGTAGTGGCTCTACAGGTCTTCTGCAGGGTGCTGCCAAATTGTTCCCTGGGCAGGTGGAGGCTGGGAGGTTGCAGGTAGCTTTTAATACTGATGAAGCCACCCACACAGGAATCTTGCACAAGATCACAGGGAGGAAGGTTAGACCCAGTTCCTGAGCACCAGAGAATGCCATGGCCACTATGTCATCTCTTCCACCCCACCATAAAGCCTATGATGAGGTCATTATTAACTTCACTGCAGAAGAGGACAAAGCAGACTAGGAATTGTTAAGTCATAAGCATACAGATGATTTAAATTGAGTTTTACCTGGCCCCCAGATCCTCCCTCTTTCCATTGTATTTTCAATAACTCCGAGAGTTACAGATAAAATAAACAGTAACACTTAAAAGATACAAAAATGTGGGCTGGGAAGGTGGCTCAGTGGTAGAGCACTTGCCTTGCATGCATGAGGCCCTGGGTTCGATTCCTCAGCACTGCATAAGCAGAAAAAAGCCGGAAGTGGGGCTATGGCTCAAGTGGTAGAGCGTTAGCCTTGAGCTGAAGAGCTGAGGGACAGCACCCAGGCCCAGAGTTCAGGCCCCACGACGACAAAAAAAAAAAAAAAAGATACAAAAATGTCATTAATGAGCTTACAAGAAATATGCTGAGTTCCTCACCCTCCTTCAGCTTCTAAAAGGAGCCATCTCCCTTGTAAGAACCTATCATGACCAGAGGGTCAGACAACAGAAAAGTCTGTCACTTACTTGTCCTGGGACTCAATGTAGACATAGAGATGAGGCTCAAAACATTTGGAAACAATGCCATGAAATGGATTATCTGGGGCTTTAGGCTTCTTAGGCTGTAAATGAAAAAGAGAAAGAAGGGGGTGGGGGGTGGGTAAAAAAGAAATACTGTATTTGAGCAATCTTTGCAAATTTCCAAGCAATTTCAAAGAAAACATCATTCCAATTCATTCTCAGCTCACAGATAAGAGAGCATGCTGTAACAAGAGTGGGCCCCGGTCCTGCACAACGATTCACCCGAGCCTGTGAATAAGATGCCAGCTTCATTAGCATCATTTACTTTCTGTGTATGATCAAAGATCTTCTGCTACTTTGATAATATGTACATTTTGTATTTTGAAGTTAGTCAGTATCTGACTGATGTTTTAAAAATCTGTACAGTGAGCTGGGTGCCAGTGGCTCACACCTGGATCCTAGCTACTCAGGAGGCTGAGATCTGAGGATCACAGTTCAAAGCCAGCCTGGGCAGGAAAGTCTGTGAGACTCTTATCTCTAATAAACCACCATAAAACCAGAGGTGGTGCTCTAGGTCAAGTGGTAGAGCACTCACCTTCAACTGAATGGACAGTACCCAGGCCCAGAGTTCAAGCTCATGACTGACATAAATAAATAAATAAATTGTACAGTGCTTTAGAATTTGAAACATACTTTCACACGACCTAATTCTGGTTGCCTACATTACTGTTGCTGCTGTGTTTCAAGCATTTTGATGCTGTGTATCCCTCACAATATCCCTTCATGTACAGCTACTATATTTAGATATCTTTCTAATAATTAAAATATAAGTATAATTACACTTTAATTAGTTCTTGTGTGTGTATGTGCGCATGCGCACACACGTGTGCACGCACATGTGTTTGAGATAGGGTCTTGCCATATCCTCAAGGCTGGTTTCAAACTTACTATGTAGCTCAGGCTACCTCAAATTCACCATCCTCCTACCTCTCCAGGCCTCCAGAGAGTTGGGATTACAGGTGCTCATTATCACTCCTGGCTTATTATTCCTTTCATTTAAAATTCTTTTTTTCCTTTGAAGGAAATTATTCTGCTGAACAATTTCTGATTTGTGAGAGTATACATAATATAACATGTTCTCTGATTTAAAATTAACATGTACATTAATAATTGTCTTTACTTATGATTTTGTGTGCACTCACTCAAATATTGACAATGTTTTCATTTATCACTTTGAAATGACTACATTGTGAAATAGGAAAAAAAGTATATAAATTAGAGAACAGAACTGTACTGAGTTACATTGTCTGATCTGATTTTCCTGTGTGGGGGCCAGAAGCATGGCACAGCAGTAGAGCACTAGATGAACAAATAGGATGCCTTGAGTTCAAATCCTAGTACTGCCAATACAACAGCAAAACCATTGATTTTCCTCTGTGGCATTGTAAGTGAGTATCTTTCTTAGGAAATACATACTTCCAACTTGTTCTGAAGTGACAGGTAGTAGGAAGAACCAGGAGGAAATAGTAAAGTAAATGTAGCAAAATGTTAACAATTGCTGGCTCTAGGTGAAAGGTATTTGGGATTCCTTGTAATAATCTTACCATTTCTTTTTTAAGCGTGAATTTATTTTTTAAAGGTAAGAATAACAACAAAGAAACTTGGGAAATGTTGCCAATGGACTGGAGGAAAAAAATCACAGACACTAGTGGGGCATTCTTTAAAAAGGCCTTCACAAGCTGGGAATGTGGCTTAGTGGTAGAGTGCTTGCTTAGCATGTACATAAACAGAAAAGGCCAGAAGTGGCGCTGTGGCTCAAGTAAAAGAGTGCTATCCTTGGGCAAAAAGCTCAGGACAGTGCCCAGGCCCTGAGTTCAAGCCTTAGGACAGGCAAGAAAAAAAAAAAAAAGGCCTTATCAAGCCAGGCATAGTGGTGCATGCCTCCTAGCTATTAGAGAAATCAAGGCAAGAGCATCATGAGTTTGAGGCTAACCCAGGCAAAGCTAAATGAGACTCTTTCAAGCTAAATTAAAAAAAAAAAAAGGGCTGGAAGTATTGCTCCAATGGTGGCCCTGGGTTCTATCTCCTGTAACACATGCACATGAGCATGCACATATATACACATACACACACATGCATGCCATCCAGAGTCTATGGCCCAGAAAACAACTGTGTAGGAACACCATTCCAGGCCTGAGTACAAAGGGGTTTGAATCTGTTTCCTGTGGTTTTGTCAGCTGTCATCACTGGGGAGGATAAAGAGGTTCATAGTTAATGAGACTATAATTAGCTCAATACACACACACATACATACACACACACACATTTGCTTTTGAATCAGGGTCTGTCTTCTCTCTCCCTCTCCCTCTTTTCTTCCCTCATCCTCCTGTTCCCTCTCTCTTTCTTTATTTCCAATGCACATAATTGTACTTAAACTCAAGACCTCTTGCTCTTGCTTTTTTCACTCAAAGCTGGTGCTCTACCACTTGAGCCACACCTCCATTTCTGGCTTTCTACTAATTAATTGGGGATAAGAGTTACTTGGATTTATCTGCTTGGGCTGGCTTTGAACTGAGATTGCCAGATATCAGCCTCCTGGGGAGCTGGGATTATAGCAGCCTGAGCTGCTACTGTCTTGAACATCTGAGCTCAAGGGATTCTCCTGCCTCAGACTCCAGAGTAGTTAAGACTACATGTGCTTCGCACTATGCTTGGCAAAACAGGTATTTTTATGTGTGCCAGCCCTACTGTTCCTGAGCCTTTTGGCTCAAGGCTTACACTTTACCACTAAAACCACAGCTCTACTTTCAGCATTTTGGTGGTTAATTGGAGATAAAGAGTCTCACAGACTTCCCTGCCCAGCCTGGCTTTGAATTTCTCAGATCCCAGCCTCCAGAATAGGTAGGATTATAGATGCAAGCCATTGGTGCCCACCCCAAACAGTTTTTTAACAAGTGATTCCAAAGGCCTGGACTCCGCATGCTAGGAAATTTTAGGCATATTTAAAATCTATTTATTTTGCTTATATTTTACTTTTTATATATATACTACAAATAATACATGATAAAAAATCCAAATACGTTTGAAAGACTTGATTGGTAAATATAAGATACAGACTATGTGACAAAAGAGAATGATTCATGTAATGATAATAAACTCATCTAGATCGGATCTCATGGGTCCTGTGCTTGATGAGACTTTCAGCACTGCGTCAGCTTTCAGAAATCTTCATAGTAGACAGAACTGGCGCCCCAGCCTAATTTTTCACCTGTTTCATCCCACCTCTGACCACAAGTGTCAAGAGGCTGCTTGGTGCTCTTGCAGCACTTTTCAGCACGAGTTAAAGCAAGATGGGGGTGTGGTGGGCTAATAAGACAGCCTGCCTAAGGTTTACTTTTTTCTTACTCCTTCCCCAGGCTGCCTCCTGCCTGTAGCTGCTTTATGGATGTGCTCATGTTTAGCTAGTAGGTGCTGGAATTTCAGCACAGTTCGGTGTCTCCCTTTGCACTATACAGCTTCCCCAAGGGTTGATGCTCAGCTTAAAGAACACACTAAGTCATTTAGCAGTAGCATTCAGGCTGGATTTCTGAGTGTGTGAATTCTGTCCAAAAGCTGCAGATGTTTAAGCTATTTCCTCCTGGAGCTTGATGGAATAATAAAAGGTTACTGTTGTCACAGTAAGGAGGTCTGCAGCTGGGCCCATTTCCTTTTATTACTATCCAATGTAAACAGATTAAATCTAACTGCCCGGATCACCAAAAGGGTACATTTTTAAACCAGAAATTCCTGATTTCTTCTCCCTTTCAGTACCCTTGGTCGCCTCTCAGGTATCATTTTTTTAATCACTTGACATACCTTGGCAGCTAATTGTTCAAGCCATCTTAGAAACTGAATGCTGCTTTTCAAGTCAACTCTCCCTTCCCTGCAGCCAGGCATAAACTACAGTAGAAGCTGAACCTGACATTAAGACCTACTGACTGCAGTTGAGCAATGATGTGAGTAAAGCAGGGACCCCTGGCTGGTCCCTACTATATCCTGTGTATTCCCTCCTATTACACTACAAGGGTCCTTTCTTCCTATGCCCCCAACTCCAGAAGCCAACAGGATGCTGATAAAAGGGAGTTCCTGGAACTCATCTCATTGAGCCAGAGAGACAAGTGCTGACAAGGCAGTGGGGAGGGGATGTTGGGGACCACGTGTGGGGAGGCATTAGTCACTGGTGTGTACTTGATAATTAGGATTTTTTTTTTCACTTCAGTTTAAGGTTTTATTATGTTGTTATTGTGTGTGTGTGTGTGTGTGCGCGTGCTGGTACTGGAGCCTGTGTGTGTGTGTGTGTGCTGGTACTGGAGCGTGTGTGTGTGTGTGTGTGTGCTGATACTGGAGCGTGCGTGTGTGTGTGTGTGTGTGTGTGTGTGCTGGTACTGGAGCCTGAATTCTGGGCCTCACACTCTTTTCATTCAAGGCTGGTGGTGTTCTACCAACTGACATGCTTCTACTTCTGTTTGTGTTTAATTGGAGCTACGAGTTTTCTGGACTTTTCTGCTCAGGCTGGCCCCAAATCTTTATCCTTGGATCTCAGCCTCCTCAGTAGCAAGGATTATAGGCATCAACCACTAGTGCCAGTTATATATATTTTTTTCTTTTTAAAAGAAATAAAGCCAGGAGCCGGTGGCTCACGCCTGTAATCCTAGCTACTCAGGAGGCTGAGATCTGAGGATCACAGTTCAAAGCCAGCATGGGCAGAAAAGTCCGTGAGACTCTTATCTCCAATAAACCACTAGAAAACCGGAAGTGGTGCTGTGGCTCAAGTGGTAGAGTGCTCGCAGCGCCCAAGCCCAGAGTTCAAGCCCCACAAGAGATAAATAAATAAATAAATAAATAAAAGAAATAGGGGTCTGGGAAGTTGGCTCAGTGGTAGAGTGCTTGCCTTGCATGCATGAGGCCCTGGGTTCAATACCTCAGCACCATATAAGCAGAAATAAAGCTGGAAGTGGAGCTGTGGCTCAAATGGTAGGGTGCTAGCTTTGAGCTGAGGAGCTAAGGAACACTGCCTGGGCCCAGAGTTCAGCTCCCATGACTGACAATAAACAAAAAATAAAACAAAAACCAAAAAGAAATAAAACCTCAGAGTCAAGAGATTTTGCCTGGAAGTGCACAATACAAAGGGACTCGGAATAGAACTGTTCTGACTGCAAGAATCTAAACCACTACTCTCTCCTTTTCTTTTCTTTTTTCTTTTTTTTGCCAGTCCTGGGCTTGAACTCAGGGCCTAGGCACTGATCCTGAGCCTCTTTTGCTCATGGCTAGCACTCTACCACTTGAGCCACAGCACCATTTCCAGCTTTTTCTGTTTATGTGGTACTGAGGAATCAAACCCAGGGCCTCATACATGCAAGGCAAGCACTCTATCACTAAGCCACATTCTCAGCCCCTCTCCTAACTCTTCATTGTGATATCTAAAGAGCCATTGGGAATACAATTTGAAAACCACTAACCTTCTCTAAAGATGAAAAATCAGGAAGGTCTAAAGAAAGGATATGACCTATCTAAGCTTACACAGTTGGTTAAGGGCAAACCAGGAGAAAGCATTTTCTCCACCACAGGAGCCTGCAGTTCTATGTGTTGTCTGATGTCAGTGCTCTGTTTCGTTAGAACAGCCTTCCATTTACAATAATCACTTTAACCTTTCACAATGGGTAGGACATTCCTGGAGAAACTGATTCCTGGCAAAACTGATTTAATAGGTAACAAGAGGCTCTATCATAATTGTCATGACATCCAGATATGACCAGCTACAGGGATGGCTTTTCATTGCAGCACAAGAAGCACTTAAGTGTTCAAATCTGACCCGGCAATGGCAGCCACTGGCTACAGGGAGATAGGAGTACCCCACTGGGTGCACCTGCATAACACAAGTCCCCAGGGTATAGGTGGCCCAGCAAAGATACAGGATACAGCATAACAATGACAGCCCTCCCCTCCAACCTGAGCCCTTACTCATATGATGTGAGAACTATACTTCTGTAGAGGTCTTTTATCCTCTCGTGCTAGCCTATTATGAGATGGCTTTTAAGCACCTCCATTTATTCCCACACATCACTGGGATATAGCCTCAAGATAATCCCTCAGCTTCACTCATTCATTTTGGTTCATAAGCTTTACTTCTATAGCTTCCACTTTTGTTTGTTCATTGATTCATTTATTTACTCATTCAAAGACAGGTTGCTCTCAAAGTTGCAATTCTCTTGCTTCAGCCTCCTGAATGCAGAGACTACAGGCATATGACACTATGCATAATTTGGCTTCTACTTTTCTTTCTTTCTTTTTTTTTTTGGGGGGGGTCCGGTTGTGGGGCCTGAACTCTGGGCCTGGGTGCTGTCCCTCAGCTCTTCAGCTCAAGGCTAGTGCTCTACCACTTGAGCCATAGCGCCACTTCCAGTTTTATTTTCTGCTTATGTGGTGCTGAGGAATCGAACCCAGGGCCTCAAGCATGCAAGGCAAGCGCTCTACCATTGAGCCACCTTCCCAGCCTGGCTTCTACTTTTTTTTATGGCACTAGAAATCACACTGAGGGCCTTATGCCTGCTAGACAATTGTTCTGCCCCTGACCTATATCTCTGGTCCCTAGCTTCCACTTTTTCTTTCTTTTTGTCTATACTGAGGCTTGAATTCAGTACCTAGTACTCTAGCTTGGCTTTTTCACTCTACCACATGAGGCAAACCTTCACCTCTGACTTTTTGCTGGTTAACTAGAAATAAGTTTGAAGGATTTGTCTATCCAGGCTTTGAACCTCAATCCACAGATTCTGATTCCTGAGTAGCTAGGTGTGAGCCACCAGAGCCCACCTTGCTTCCACTTTTTTTTTTTTTTTGGGTGCTGTTCTAGGGCACTGACCCTGAGCTTTTTGCATCCTACCACTTGAGCCATGGCTCTACTTCCAAGCTTTTTGGTGATTAAGAATCTCACAGACTTTCATGCCCAGGCTGACTTTGCATTGCAATCCTCAGATCTCAGTCTCCCAAGTTGCTAGGATTACAGGCATAAGCCATTAATGCCTGGCTTGCTTATTATCTGCCCGTCTCCCCCCGCCACCCTTCCCCCCTGTCCTGCGGTTTGAACTCCAGGCCTCAGCGCTGTTCCTGAGCCTCTTTGTGCTCAAGGCTAGAGCTCTACAACTTGAGCCACAGAACCACTTCCAGCTTTTTTTGAGTAGTTTATTGGAGATAAGAGTCTCACCGTCTTTTTTGCCCTGGTTGGCTTCAAACTATTATCCTTAGATCTCAGCCTCCTCCGCAGCTAGGATTACAGGCATAAGCCACTAGTACCTGGCTTTTGCTACTACTTTTTAATGTCATGAAAGTATTAAAGGAATTCTAGCTTCTGACTTTAGAGCTGGCATTCAGTCTTAGTTGTTCCACTTGCAAACTATGAAACCTTGGGCAAGTCTTTCAGCCTCTCGGATCTGCAATCCCATCACTATAAACCAGGAGGCTAGGAGCTGCAAAGGCCAATATAAAGTCAAACTTGTAGAAGATTTGTATAAAGCATGATAAAAATGTAAGGTATCCAAGTCATCACAATTATTTAATCAATGGACCAAGACACTGAATGAACTGTTATGGGAATTCTGGTTTCTTGGCTCCTGTAGCCTTACACACCTGCCCTCACCATGCCAGGGACTCAAAGTTAGCTATGAAGTCTGCTTACAGGTTTCCTAAAACTGGTCTTCCCAGTCACCTCCCTCTTGGGGGTGTCTGGAGCAAACACCACCATAATTTCCTAGTAGTGAAGTATAAAATAAAAAAGGATCATTAATCCAGAAAGGAAGTAGGTCAATTTGTTGCTCTAACATGTCTTGTCATAAAATGGCAGTGAAACAAAACACTGTTCTGTAGGATGGAGAGGAAATCTAGTGTTAGATGGAGAAATCTGAAGGAAATTAAAAATGCTAATGTGCCCTGAAAAGTAACTCCCCAAAGATGCTATTGGTCTCCTCTGGACAAGGGTTTCCATACCTAATGGGATCAGCATACATTGCATGAAGTATCTCTCATCCCATGACACTTCCTGGGACACTTCCATGAGACTTTCCTGAGATTTTTCATCCTCTCATATGTCATCATGGTACCAGAGGGGAATGCAGTGGAAAGTTATGCTGCTGAGCCCAGGACAGGATGAATGAGGCACAGCAGGATTCTGCTAGCCCTGCCACATGGATGGATGAAGCCTGTGCTAAACGCTGGGGTGGGAAGGCTGTTCAGGAGCAGAACTATTCTTCCTCAGTTGTTTGTACTTTCACATAAAGGTCCTCTCTAAAGCCCACCACCGCTGGAATCTCTGGATGCGGTCCACAGTCACAAGACAGCATCTAAAGCGAGCCAAACCATTTGCACAAAGAAACAACAGGGAAGTCACAGGTGGCCAGCCACACAGATCGGATGGACTTACTTGGTCTAACTCTCCTTTGTCCATCGCCAGCTCTTCCATCTCTGGTGTGGCCTCATCTTCCAGGAAGGGATTGGTAGACGGTGGTGGGGACTCCAGTTTTTTCTATTAAGGAAACATAAAGCAATACCTTCTGAGCATATTTGATAGACTTCCTGGTACTCTACTTTTTCAAAGTCTCCCCAACAGCTAAGCCATAAACTCCGGACTGACTCTTAAACCAAGAACAGAGGGAATATGAACCGCATTCTTATCCCCAGGCCTTCACATTGATTTCTCATCCTCTAGAACCTTTATTGTCCAACCTTCTTCAATTCGATTCTGACTAAAACTGTTGCTTAGCTGTCAGTGCTCAACTTTTGGGAAGCCTTCCTCATCTGTCAGGTATATGTTAGAAATCTCTCCATGTGATCTGCCCTACCTTACCTTGGTATTTATTACAACTGTCCATTTGTCTTCTCTCCTAAGATTCCATGATGGTAGATATCATGTCAGCCTTATTCCCCTCCCTTATCTTTGGTGTCTAGCATATAACCAATATTCAATAAATAAGAATGAATCTCAACGATGCAAGGGGTTGAACTGAAATTACAAAGCTAATGTCATGTGTTCTGGATTACAGACAGAAGTCTCTTCCCAAGTAAGTTCCATTACAATGACCACAACAGAAACCTTCTTCAGCAAAATGCCTTCCATCTCTGAATGTGATCACTAGTTCAAAATATATCAGAGTGGTACCACAGACTAGTGGGAAAGCTGGGGGCAGGAGACATGGGTTTTGGCTCCAACACTGCTGTGCTGGCCAAACCACCCAGCTTCATCTACTGGATGAGGCTGGAAGAGTCACAGGACTACAAGAAGGATCAAATGTAATAAACTGCGTGAAACTCTAGACAAAACACATGATCCACACAAAGGTCACTGATGAGGTTAATTCAATATAAACCAGTTTACAAATTTTTCACCTAGAGATGCTGTTTATATCTGGGTGTTAGGAATTTCAGGGGAGAAGTCAGATGACAAACAGGATAGAAGTTTGGTTGCTGCTGGGATGAGGTGACCAGCAAGGAATGGCTGCCTAGAGAAAAGAAGCTAAGTGGAGATGGAGTTTGGAAGTGTATGAATGTGCTTGTAATATTTTAGCAAGTATCAGTGGAGCAAGCTGGACCAACCCACCTTTAAGCTAGGAGAGACAGCAGATAGTCTATAGGATGAATGACTGCCAAGTGCCAGGATACCATTAGAAGGTATTCCAAACAAACAAACAAAAAAAGCAGAATTTGAACACAATAAAAGAAAAGATGCAATGGGTCTGGTTTGGCCTTCTAAGGTAACTCTATTAAAATTCCTTTAAACTATTTAATTCTTGTCCAGAACACCAGGATGTTCAGCCTCAGGGATGGAGTTCAAATTCAGTACCTTGCACTCATATACTAAGAGCTACAATTTTACAGAGCTCTGCTTTTTTAGTAGCTGAGATCACAGGCATGAGCTACTGTACCTCACCTCTAATAAGAATTTTAAATATATCCAATGCTATGGGAAAATGGCCTATAACAGAAACAGGAAGACGAGTTTGTGAGCCAATATATTGTTTCAGGCAGGGGCAGATAGGGAGCATGTTCTAAGCTAGTGATGTGAAGACAGAAAAGTAGCCAGAGGGGCTGGGAAAAATGGCTCAGAGGTAGAGCACTTGCCTTGCATGCCTGAGGCCCTGGGTTCGATTCCTCAGCACCACATAAGAAAAAAGAAAAAAAGCCGGAAGTGGCGCTGTGGCTCAAATGATAGAGCGCTAGCCTTGAGCTGAAGAGCTGAGGGACAGCACCCAGGCCTAGAGTTCAGGCCCCACGACTGGACCGCCCCCCCCCCAAAAAAAAGAAAATTAGCCAGATTGGGGACAGATTTAGAAAAGAGAAATAGGTGCTGGTGGCTCACGCCTATAATCCTAGCTACTCAAGAGGCTGAGACCTGAGGAATGCGGTTCAAAGCCAACCCAGGAAGGAAACTTCGTGAGACTCTTATCTCTAATTAACCACCAGAAAACTGGAAGTGGTGCTGTGGCTCCAGTGGTGGAGTACTTGGTGAAAGGCTTGAGCTGAAGAGCTCAGGGACTGTGTCCAGGCCCAGATTTCAAGCCCCATGACTGACCAAAAAAAAAAAAAAAAGGAGAGATGGTCTGGGAATGTGGCTTAGTGGTAGAATGCTTGCCTAGCATGCATGAAGCCCTGGATTCGATTCCTCAGAACTACATAAACAGAAAAAGCTGGAAGTACTGTGGCTCAAGTGGTAGAGTGCTAGCTCAGGGATAGTGTCTAGGCCCTCAGTTCAAGCCCCAGAACTGGAAAAAAAAAAAAAAAAGATTTAGGAAAGAGAGAAAAAGGGGGAAGGTGGCACACATCAAGAAGACTTGCTAAGAAAGAAAAAAAGGAAGAAAATGAGTCAAAAATCATTCATTAGCCTGAGCCACTGTGTGACTAGTGCTGTCTTTAACTGAAATGAGGTTCCTTATGCAATAGTGAGGACCAGAGTTCAAGACCAGACCTTGCCACCTAAGAGTGTTACTTAACTTCTTCGACATTCAGAGCTTTTTGTTTGTTTGTTTATTTTTTTCTCCTATACCTGCCTGACTATTGTGCCTCTCTTAATAAAGCAACTCAGAGAAGAGAAAAGTACAAACTCTGGGTTTAATGTCTTTTTAACCACCCCAAGTGACATCCTGTCTTATTATCTTGTCTCTTTGGCTCTCTCCAGGAAATAAAAGCCCTTCAACTTACAAGTGCAAAAGCACAGCGCAGGGCTGGGAAGGTGGTTCAGTGGTAGAGTGCTTGCCTTGCATGCATGAAGCCCTGGGTTCGATTCCTCAGCACCACATAAGCAAAAAGAAAAAAGCCAGAAGTGGTGCTGTGGCTCAAGTGGTAGAGCGCTAGCCTTGAGCTGAAGAGCTGAGGGACAGCGCCCAGGCCCAGAGTTCAGGCCCCACAACCGGACCCAAAAAAAAAAAAAAAAAAGCACAGAGCAGCTCCCTCTTTCTCTAGCTATTGTCCTGTATATAGTAATGTTATGATATATGATATAAAACCCAAGGGGTAAATGTCACCTCTGATATTAAGGGGGCTGTGCTGCTGCTCATATTAATTTGCTGTAGTAAAAGAACAAGTCTTTGCTCACAGTGGCCACCGGCATGATGGCCCTGGGTGCAAAAGCCACACTTCTCCTTCCTGCCTTTCAGCTGTTGTAGACCATTGAGAACTACTAGCTTGTGTTTAGATTTTCAAGTACTCAGGTGACATCTTCCATGAATTGTTGCACAACTACATGAAATCAAAAATTGGCCAAGAACTGAATGAATTTCCAGTTTTAAAAGAATCCATTCTTTTGGCTATGATAACTGTTGATCTCAAGTCTACACAGGAAGATAAAATTCCTTATAGAGCAAGTTAATCCCACTGATTAAATCACATGGGATTCTAGCACCTCCAAAACAGTAAGGGCTGTAGGATGGCCAAAGCTGTCTTACTGTGAGGAGAGTCTGGCTTAGGTCAGGCACATTTCTGAATCTGGTGCATTCCTGCCTGCACAAATCCCTCCTTCAGGCCCTTGCAGGACATACCACATTAACAAAGAAGAAATTCTGAAAATTAAGACTAATCGTCTTCCTTTCCCTGGAGGCAAAATGCTTAACTGTGTTTGCCTTAAAGAGCTGAAGGCTTTGGCTGACAGTTCAACTCACAGGCTCAGGGCTGCACACCTGCTTTTACTATCCACCCCCATCCCCCTACCCCAACTCCTGCCACCACACGTTGGAACATATACTACAGTTCTCTGCCTACAACAGCATGTACACCTGTCTGTTTCAATTTCCCACCTTCATGCCTCTGCATACAGAGGGAGCTTGAGAGATATTTGTGAATGAATGCTGCTAAGATGAGAAGTACTCAAGATATCCTTTTCAGAAACAAGGGCCCTGTTCTCTCTGTTCTGTAAACAGAATAAAAGTCTTGTGCACTAGTGCTTGCCCGGGAGTATCAAAAGCATGCTCTGGAATATGAACTGAGGATACCTCTTGGATCTTTCTTGCTTTTTTTTTGCTTATGTGGTATTGAGGAATTGAACCCAGGGCTTCATGCATGCTAGGCAAGCACTCTACCACTGAGCTACCTTCCCAGCCCTGGATCTTTCTTTTTAAATATTTTCCTTTCTTTGATTTTATTTCAAGAGCAGATATTACTTCTGGCTTTTGTTTTTTGTTTGTTTTTGGAGAATAATGATTTCTAACTCAATGCCTACAGTAAGGATATATATCTGAAGATTAATGATTTCTAACTCAATGCCTACAGTATTCTGTAAAATCCTGACGTTGCAGTTTAGCACATATAACAAAATTCACCAGTTAAAAGTGATTTACAATTCAGTGGTTTTAGTATATGTACAAGTTCTTGAACCACGGCTACTATCTAATTCCAGAACATTCTCACTCCCTCAAGAAATCCCATAGCCACTAAATGTTGCTTCACAATCCTCCCCTTTCCAAATCTTTCTGTCTCCACAGACTTGCTCATACACTTCAGTAAAAGACTTCTTGTGCTGGCTTCTTTTCTTTAGATTAGCAGTACAAAGTTCACTTGTGTTGCAGTACGTGTTAGTTTTTAAGGCTAGATAATATTCCATTGTATGGACAGATCATTTTTGGCCATGAACTGACTTTTGGGTTGTTTCCAGCTTTTGGCTGTGAATAGCGCTGCCAGGAACATTCATATACAAGTGCTTATTTTTTTAAAAACACATCTTTTCAGTTTTCTTAGGTGTACAATTAGGAGTAGACACTGATAGTTTAAAAAATATTCAAACCAGGTATGATGGTACAAGTATATAATCCCAGCACTCAGGAGGCTAGGGCAAGAGGATCCTAAGTTCAATCTAGACTGTGCCACATAGGGAGATCCAGGACATTTTGGGCTACAACCTATCCCCAAAACACTAAAATAAAAGCCAAATAACCCCTAGTAGCAAGAATCAGTGCTGGGAGAAACAGCTACTGCATTCATAAGAACCTATAAGAATTTAGAAAGTAGTGCAGCACAGAGGCAGTATGAAATTTGGTAATG